GAGTCCCTGTCTATTGCTTTCACCAGCCCATATTACTCCTGTGTCAATGGCTCATTTTTGGCTTCTAAGTCATCTGATGAATGAGACTGATAGTGCTAGTGAGTGATGAGACATCTTATTCTCCACTATGAACTGGACTGAGATGAACTCTTCTTTTTGTAGACCTTGCATAAGCATGATGTGTTCAGTGATCTTTTTGATGTTCTTTGCAGGCTGTTTTCCAAGATCTCTTCCTTTTTCTCTATGTGAATTTTAAAGCCGACACCCTGGTGCTCTTGTGCAGACAAGTGACCAGGGAAAAAGTGTGTCATTGGAGGGGGCAGTTTCTTTAAAAATGGAACAGGCAGAAGGAAGCAGAGATCCCAGAGAGAGCTGGTGTCGTCTGGGATTAGCTCCACGGAGTGCCTGGCTCTCAGATCTGTGCTGTGTTTGCAAAATTAGGCCTTTCTCTACCTTGATAAATTCAAATGAAATGGAAGTGTCTGTAGCTTGTCATTTTCCAAAGCTGCTGTGAGCTGATCTATATGGGTCTGGACTGGACACTGACAGAAGAGATAAAGCAGGGTTGAGCAGAATGTCCTGCTAACTATGTAACTACATAACCCATACTGCAAATGCTCTCCAGCAGGTAATCCAGCCAGTCTACCTGCATTTCCTAACCCTCTTGTTCTTCTTTCGCCCTGCAGTGAGAAACGCAGTCTGCAAGTCAATGTTACCAACCCGGTCCAGTGTAGCCTGCATGGTAGGAAATGCACCGTCTCCGTGGAAACCAAGATCAACCAATCACAGCCAGACTTCACCAAGAATCGTTCAGGTTTCATCCTCTGTGTGCCAGGGAATTAGCATCACCTCCACTAAAGCAGAGAGCCTTTGAGAGAGCAGAGGAAAGGAAAGGAAACAGACCAGATTTAAATTGCCCTCTGTATGACTTGAACTTTTCAAGGAGATTAACTGGGAGATACTCAGCTGTGATTTGCAGCTGTGCACCTGAACAGATCCCTAAAGCTAGTATTATACCTAGCCGAAATTCAGGAGAGGTTTCTCTTTACCATATCTGACCAGGGCTGAAAATAGCCATGCAGGTGCACCCAGCTTAGAAAACAGACCTAGACACCAGGAAACTGTTTCTGAGCTGCTGTTAGAAGCAAGCATTCATCAGGAGTTGTTTCTCCCCTTTGCTTCCCCTCCCTCTCCCACTGTCCTGACCCTCTCCTGTGTTCTCTATCTCTGCATCTCCATTCTGCAATATCACGTAGCCTCCATTGGAGGAACCAAAGATGGGGGCTCAGGGAGGAAGCCCTGCTGTAACAGTTTAAATCTGAAAGACCAAATTGTCATAAGAAGGGAGACATGGTTGGCAAAAGAAGGGCTGGGTTTCCTAAAGGAAGGCACAGACCCCTGATTCCTCCCACCCTCTCCCTCCCAGGCTCATGTGATTGCAAGGGTACATGTAAATGCATCTCTAAACAAAAATAATTTGCTGCTTTCCTACAAGAAGTCCATTAGCCTGTGAGGAGAGGGTTTGGTGGGAGAAAATTACCCCAGCAGTATAAAGGGGTGGGGGGTGAAATTCATGATGCAGAGAGTTTTAAGCAGCATTGGCTATAAAGAGCATAGCTGTTGCCTTCCCTGGTCGGGTGATGTGACCTGGGATCCCAGGGCGTCCCAGTGATCCAGTGCCTCCCCCAGAATTCTAACCTGACCCATGTGGGTGCCCTTAGTCCCAGCAACATGGTTCAATGAGGCTTGAGGAGGATGCTGGCCAGGATCTCTGCACAGGTGGGGTAAGGAGAGGGTTCCTTTCCAGACCTGTGCAAAGGCCACCTGCTATATCCAGCTGGAGATGCGGTGGGGGGCTGTTGGGTCTGAGGATACAACAGCCTTGGGCTCCCCAGCTTTGCACTATGTAGTCACTAACTCTGGGCAATTCTGTCCAAGCATAGAAAGGAGGAAATGGGTGATAGCACACGCCTGTTTTAAATGCACAGACTGTTCTGCTTGCAGACCTTTCTCTGGGTCTTCCTTGACATGCACATATTGGATGTTATTGGCACAAGACCTGGGAGGCCACTCTGTATCTCTGTGGCCTTTCTGTTAGCATCAAGTTTAGTTGACGATGCATAGTCTGCTTCCCTCTGGCCCACGTAACCTTGTAATTGGTACTCTGTGTGGGTTGTTGGGGGGCTGGTTTTAATAAGATGCACTCTTAACCACCTCTCCTGTTTCCTCTGTGACAGAATTATTAACAAGAGCTTTTGATGTCATGTCAGCAGATTTTATATCAGGCTGCTTCTGTGGTATTTTAATGGGGGAGACAATATGTCGTCATGGGGCTATGAAGATTTATATACTAAATTCTGGCACTGCTGGTCAGGTCAGGATTTCCAGTCCTTTGCTACGCAAACCCTGCCTGGTCACCTGTACCAATGAGCCTGTTTCAGGGACTTTGAGTCCCCAGCCTCAGTGTTGGTTTACAACAGGATGCATTTTCTAGTTTAGATCTGTTTTAGCAGCCAAAAAGTGCCCTAAAGAGGCATTTCTCCTCCCGTTCGAGGGCATCCTGACAAACGAACTCCACAGTGAGTACAGGGCCTCACAAAACCAATCCCTAGACAAAGGGGGAGGGAGGGGGAGGTGGTCATAACAGTATTTATGTCCAGTTGCTGCCAGGGAGATTCTTGAAGTTAATTAGTATCTTGCGTAGAGAAGCTACAGAGCTGTGTTTAATTGGGACAAGCTTAATCTCCCTTGGCTTGTTTGCCAGGGAGTCCCTGTGGCAAAGCCCTTCCTGTGCAGTGGGCTGCTCTGTTCTTCCCCTGCTGCACATTACACAAGTGCTGCGCTTGGCTTCTAGCCAGTACGTACCACATGCCTTGAGAGCAGCCTGTTGTGCATGAGGAGCAGGGGCCAGGGAGGGAGCTCCCAGTGCCCACATCCCAGCGTGGCACCCACTCACTCACTCTCCTGTTTATGCTGCTCTGAGCAACAAAGAGGAATCCTGCCCTCCAGAACCATGTGGCCTTTTCCAGTCTTCCCTGGCCCTTAGGGAAGAGGCCATAATGGATGTCAGCCAATGCCATTGAGAGCCCTCTGTGGCTGCTTTACCAGCACCACACACCACTAGAACAGCAAGGAGAGTGGAAGCAACTACCCAGCCAAGAAATAGCTCCTGCACGTGCCAAGTGTACACATGCAGATAGGGCACCAACAAAGAGCCTTTACCTCTTGTTCCACTTCCTCCCCAGCTTCTGCTGCTCCTCAGTAGGAGGAGAAATGCCAATTCTCAAGGCATTTTTATAACTTGTTCTAGAAGGGAAGGTGTTATTTGTAATAATCCCTCTGAAGCAGTAGAAAGTGTTCTCCCCACTGCTGTGCCTTTTTTTCTATTTGCACTTCTTGCTTTTTGTTTTTATGCAACTGTCCAAGTGCCTCCAGTCTCTCTAATGTAGTAGCCAAGTTAGCGGCTTAAGATTTTAATTAGCACTTTCATTACACTATCCCTCCAACGAAATAGTTGTACTGAATCATGGACAGCAATAAACTTGTGTTTAGAGAATGTCTAATGCAACAAGGTGGCGATATAGTATGTGATGAAGTATGTGTCTTTATTAAATGAAATACATTATTTGCTCCTGCTCTGGTTTTTATATATATTCCTGATTTCTCCCATAAATTAACTATTTCTAAATTGTATTTTGATTTTTTTTGAGCCTGGGGCAAAAATGCAATGAACCATTTTAAGTAGTTGATATCGTAATGTATAAAAGAAAAGCCCTACTATAATGATATTGGGCTTTTGTTTACATAATTCACTGTAATTAAAGGACTATTAGTTGCACCCTGGTACTGTTGGTCTCCTTTTTTCTTTATGGGGAATGATAGTAGTCACCCTGGAGATGAACATTGGTTTTACCACAAGGACTTTCAAGTTACTTCAATGAAGAGTAAAGTTTTATGTCTGAATTTTGCTGCCCATCCCTGAGTCTCCAAGACAGACTGACCTATAGTTTTGTGGAAACACTGGCCCTTGGAGACTAGAGACCAAAGTACATCTGCAGGAGGACAGGCAGCAAAGCAAGACACACTTCCCTTATGATTCAGCGCTGCCTCCTCCTCCTCCTCCCCACTCTTGTGATACTTTAGCATATTCTTTACCCTTGTTTACTGCCCAGTTGCACATGCGCCAGTGAGGGAGGTGTCCTTGCCTAGCTTTTGACAGTCCAGTCAGGAAGGCTGCACCTCTCATCTGCCTGTCATGCTAATTCAGTCTTTTGAAGGAAACTCGCCGGATTGCTGACTTCACAGCACATTGTATGGAAGTCCAGAGCAAAATGGTGAACTTGGGGACTTTAACATGATTAAAACACTAGCACAGCTAATGTACTAAGCCCTCTTTCGTCTAGGCAAATCCAATTATTTCTCCAAGGCCATGCATCATTCATGAAAGGTGTCTTACACACGGGTTGCTGCATAAAGGAGTCAGCTACAAAAGGCTTCCATGTAATGGATGGTCAGTGCATTTTATTTAATCAACACAGTACAAAAATAAATAAAAATAAGGGGAAGGGATTAAATTACAGGCACACTGAGCTCCATGACACAGTCTGTCAGATTATAAACCACACATACTTACAAACACACTATACACATACATACAAAATGAGACAAATATAAATTAATAAGTAACAATACCCACCAGTTTGGTCAACAAAGATCTACAGAAGAGATTGCACTAAAAAAAACATACATATACATGTATAATTAGCAGTTTCAAATGTACAGCTATGAAGAATTTCAAGTGAAAAAAATGGCACATTATTTTTTTCATTTGCAATCTTAACAACTGGAACAGAACTAAACTAAGAACTGTGCACAGTAAGAACTTACCAGTCCCCAGGCCTGTTAAGAAAATGCCAACTCAAAGACTGAACTATTTGTGTGTGTGCGTGTGTGTGTGTGTTGTGCATGGGTGTAATTTTTACAGCCATTTGTTGTAAGTTTTTGTTTGTTTTTTGAAGACACAAAATGCTTCTGTTTGCATGCACGATACCACTGTAAAAGCAACGATGAAAGAATAAAGAAGGGGTTTTTTTGTAGGTTAGTATTTTTGTTCTAAAAGTATTCATATAGCAGCATGTAAATTTCTTTCATTGCTTGCACACTCAAGTATATCAGTTGATCCTTTACACAATACTTATGATCAGTGCACAATGGGAACAATACATTTCACGTTGATGTAATGATACAGGAGCACTTACTTCTCTTAAACCGAACCTCTCGTGAAACTTGTCTTGAAAAAACAATAAATAAATAAAGGGGATAGAGAAGAGAGAGAAATGGCTCTCCCAGACACACAGCTGGAATCTGGTCTGTCCTCAAAACAAGTAGGACCTAATGTGTTCAGCCTGTGTTGGCAACAAGTTGAGCTTCCTAACTGCTTGCCAGATGATGCTGTCCTTTTTAGAACAGCAAATGTGCAATGGAGGGAGCTGAGGAAGCCATCTACAAAGACCACAGGAGACTTGATCTCCCCCTCATACATTTGCTAGCCAACTGGCTGCAAAGTGCCTTTCCAGCTCTGTGTCTGAGGAAGGGTTAGCTTATGGTCAGTGTGTGTTAATGGCTCAGATTTGGGCCTAGCCTCAGAGGCAATGCAGGCTCTCCCTACATTTGTAAATCCAGCAGTCTTGGATATTACAAAACTGGTTCCTTTCTGCTTCAAACCCCTTAAGCCTAGACCTTGAATTTCACAGCTTTCTGTTCCTTTACATTTTAAATAGTGCTTACTGCTCAAATGAGCAGCAATCTACTCTAACACTGTTAAATATAAAGCCCAGCCCCCCCACCCCCCTCCCCTGCCAGAATGCCAGCATCCTTAAGCCTAGAGTGTTGGATTTGAAGAAGCCTTTAAAGGTTTTCTAACTGGTCTTTGTCTGCAGATCTATTAATGCTACAAAAATCTAGACTTGGTTCTTCTCCACCTCTGGCTTCTCAAGAAGCTAATAAAGCCAGTGGATAAGCTTACCTACAGTCTTTAGCCCATAAAATGAATTCCCTTTTCAGCAGTACTTGAAGTGTGTTTGTATCTTGAACCAGGAAAGTTGGTCTCTTAAATGACACTTAAGGGTAAGTGAAATTAACAAGATTCAAAGCCAATCAAGGGTGCATTAATATTTCATGTTTAGCCTACAAGCCCTGGTCCCCTATGGGCCATTTGGTTGTGAGCCTTTCCTTTTGAAGGATGTTAACAACCTCCCTTTTTTTGTTTAAAGAAACATGATGTATAACTTGCTTGAGCATCAGAGGTTGGCTGTGACAGCAGGTGCCAGGTTAGAATGCTAAACATGACAAATTCCACAAAGGCTGGCCAGTCAGACGACAGAAAGCAACTGATAGTGCCATTAAACCTCTAGTAAAGCCGACATCAATACAGACCCTACTTCTACATGAACAGAAGAATACCCACCATATTTCAACTGGACCAGGTTAGGCTGCAGACAGTCATTGTACTAACCAGCGTAAAATGGTTCACCAGAACAAAACAATCTCCAGGAGCTGTCTCCCTCCAACCCCAGCTTGGCCACCTCGCTGCTTGGGTACTTCAGCAAGGAGCAATTGCTTGAGGACACTGCGAACTCGCCTAGGATGTTCAGCTGCCTCGCGGACGAGGAACGACGCTTCCAAGCCTGCATGAGAAACCCTTCTTCCTGCTTAATGTCAGGAGTTCCGTTTCCCTAATCTGGGAATTTTGAGCATTAAACGGGTAAAACCCCAGGGTGGGGCCAAAGGTGCTGACAATCCCAGCTCATCACCTGTTCGGCCGCTGGCCACTAACTACATGTTACATGCAAGAAAGTCTGTTTGGGAGACTGATGCCAATTTGTTTTTTTTAAGGTCACTGTAGTTGTTTTCCCCACTGCGTGCAGCTTTGAACACCAGCCAGCTTCAAAATAGTGGAACCCACTGGGAAAAACCAAATGTTCAAGAATCCATTGGATTGCCCTGTTCATCCACTGCCATTCCCATTAGGAACGTACATGCCATGATTTCCTGCCAGTCACTGGTCCGAGCCTCCAGCTTACAACTGTATAGAATTACAGTGCGGATAATCCCTACGTGTATTGTCTCAGCAAAGCCGGCACCAACCACAAGGGTTCCCACTGCTCTGCACTTGCTCCACTTAGGTCCTCCCTAGGCTTAGCCAGCGTTGAATATGGTAAGTGGAGGTAGCAAGGCATGTCCCATGTGGCTGCAGAAACCAAATAGATCTTGGCCACTAGAGCATGATAAAAAAACATCCCCCGGGTCTGTAGAGCTTCTTGGTGACCAAAGCCCTACCAGCCTAAGCGTCTGAGGGTCAGTGCTGCTGCCTGCGGGGTCCCTGGCAGCCCCGCTGACCTGTCCAGTGTCTGCACAACCCTGATTCACGTCCCATAAATGAAAACAAAAATGTATTGTTCCCTCAGTCCCCGGGCGGCGGGCGTTCACCGGTCCAGCCCGATGAGCAGCCGGCCCTTCTCCTCCTGGCTGCACTCGTTCTTCAAGTCGGCAAACACCTGGGTGAAGTAGTGCGGGTCCGCATTGATCTGCAGCATCTTGGGGCTCATGAGGTTAATGATGGAGAGGCAACGGTCCCAAAAGGCCTCCTTACAGCTCTCCACCAGGAAGGGCTTGAGGGGGTAGGAGATCTCGTTCCCCATGTAGGAGTAGGAGAGGTACAGGCAGGTCAGCAAGACGGCCTGCAGTTCATGGTCAGTGGCCACTTCTGAGGAGATGACGTCCCGGCAGAGCATGTAGAGAAAGACCACGTTGGCCGGTGTGATGAAGCCCTGGTCCTGCCAGCCCTGGAGCAGCAGGGACCTGTCCACGCTGCGCAGCCACAGCACGGGGTCTGTGGGCGAGAGGTGCTTGAGGCGGTAGCACCGCCGGCACAGGAACTCACCCAAGCAGCGCAGGAGCTCGCTGGTGGAGGCCTGGACGATGACCCTCTTGGGGGTGCCAGCGGGGGCGGTGCCGGGGTGCGGCGCCTTCTTGGCAGACGAGAGGGCGCTCTTGGAGCAGGAGATCTGGCCGGCAGGGGCGGGCGGCGGCACGGGCGGGGGCTGGGCGAAGGTGGAGAGGTTGGCACAGGACAGCGACTTCTTCAGGTTCTCGTTATTGAGGTGGGTGACATTGGGCTGGTAGCTGCCGTTGGGCTGCACCTTCTTGGAGCTCTTCTTCTTGGCCGACACGGCCACGATGCGCTTCCAGGGCAGCACGGAGATGATGGAGTGGCGCTTCAGGCTCTTGTCCTTGGCGTTCTTGCTGTTCTGCACGGCCGTGTAGTGCCCCACCGTGGTGGCCGCGCCATCCTCGAACAGCGTGGCCTTCCGGTAGCTGGGCGACAGAGACAGCACCGTGCCCATGGCGCCGGCCGGGGCGGGGGGGCCGAGTCAGGCGCGTCTCTCACACCTGCGGCGGGGACACAAGAGCCGGCGGCTCCCGTCAGCGTGGCCGCTCCCGCCCCGCCCCGCC